AAAAGCAAAATACGCATTTCTCTAATGTTCCATATTAAAAGGTTTTTATGTAACAATAAAACACTGAAAACTTTGTTTTCAAACTTCCACAAAATTTATTTTAACTCTTATCACTACAGCTATTTCGGCTGATTGCCTTTCTCAAGCGATCTATTTTTGGCATGCCTTTACAATTTATAGTCTTTAATGAAATAGGTTGAGGAGGGGAGAACTGTTTGTCTCAAGTTGGTCATTCAGAATTATATCTGTGTTTTTTAATTTGTTATCTCGAATCTGTTTTTCTATTATTGAAAGCCCTTTTAAGTTCTGCTATTCGTTTATTAAAGTTCCTACCAGTTTGACCGATGTAAGTTTTTGGGCAGTCGCCACATTGAAGTTTGTACACGCCACTATTTAAGTGTTTTTTTACTTTGGCTCTTGTTATTTTTAATATATTTGCCTAGGTTGTTATTTGTTCGGAAAACTGGTGTTATTCCTTTCTTTTTTATGTGTTTGGCTATTTTTGTTGATATTTTGCCTGTATATGTAATCGAGCAGAAGGTACTGGATTTTTTTCTCTGGTGATGGAAATACTAATTTCAGGGCTTTCTTGTGTAGTTTTTGATTTAACATTTGATTAATTGTTTGTTCGTTGTATCCGTTTGTTTACTGCTATTTGCTTATTATATTTAATTCTGTCTCAAAGTTGTATTTTGACATCGGAATTTCTGTTAATCTATGTAACATACTATGATAAGCTGCCAGTTTATGTTGTGTTGGATGGAATGATGAATTTTGTATAGGTCGTGTCAGTATGTGTAGGTTTATGAAATATGGAGAAGTCATGTTTGTTTTTAAGTCCGATAATTTTTAAATCTAAAAAATTTATGGATTGATTTTGTTCTGTTTCTATTGTAAATTCAATATGACTATGAAGTGAATTAATATACGATAAAAATTGGTCGAGTTGCCTGTTAGTTCCTGTGAAACATACCAGTACGTCGCGTCGTCTACGTATCTCCACCAATATAGAACTTGTTTGAATACGGGATGTTTTGAAATCTTTGTCTCTAGATGGTCCATAAAAAATATCTGATAGTAGTGGGCTTAGAGGATTGCCCATTATAAGTCCTGCACTGCTATTTGTATATATTTGATCATTAAATTCAAAGTAGTCCTGGTTTATGCAAATTTCAAGAAGATGTAAAATTTCAGATGTAATTATTGGATTTGTACTATTTTGGTCTAAAAGGTTTTTACTAGAATAAAAGTTTCTTTAGGAGGGATACTAGGAAAAAGATTTTTTACGTCAAATGAAATTAATCTGGAGTTGTTAGATAATTGAAAATGTTGTATTTTATTAACTAGTTCTACTGTATTTTTTATAGTAAATTTAGATGGAAATTTAGTGTGTTCTAAAATAATCTCTAACAGTTTTTTTGAAAATTTAATATTTCGATATTTTAACAAGACAATTTTATAATGACCAATTAATGCAATCTCTTAATTCTCTTAAATAAATATAAAGGAAAAGAACCCAACTTTCAAAAACATCACGTCACGCCACAATCTTCAAATCACCAAAGTCATAATAATTATCAAAGGCAAAATCATCATAATTATCCTAATTGTCAAACTAACTACATTCCAAACAGACCTCATCAATATAATCATCACTATCCCAATCAACATTAGAATCAATCTAGTTTCCAACAACAACCCAATTATCAATTTAATCAACCCAGTACGTCACTACAACCATTTCCAAGAGGTCCCATTAACATGAAACATAAACCAGTTCAAAGAAAATATTTTACAAATGAACAAGTTTTTGGGAAACCAAAAAATGTATTTGATCCCAGGAATGCACCAAAAAATACGTTCAAACGAGAGCCAATAATCCACTATATCTAGAATCCCTACGATAAGACAAAAATTCCAAACAGATCCTGCCAAATTTCAAGTCGAAGAATTATATCATGTAACCGATGATGAAGTAGAATACTCCTACTAAACAAACCAAAACAATGAAAGAGGTAATTACGAGCCTTAATAAATTCTGTAGGAAAAGTTTCCAAATGGCTTTTGGTACTTTAGATTTCGATGATAAAAGATACGATAATTACTATTAAAGTTCTTGATGAAAATCAAAATAGAATAAATTTAAGTTTATATAAACATCATACTTTAGTAGTAGAAATGTCAAAATTATATTCAGAAAACTTTAATATAGTAAAAGAAAATCAAATCTTAATCAGTTATCAAATGACGACAATTTCAGTAGAAATTAAAGAACTGATTAATGTGGAAAAAGCTTTCTCTTTAAATATAGTAATTGATAACCTGATAAATCAGCCAAAAGACTTACATACTCTTACTTACTTACTTACTTACTCCGTGGCGTTACAAGCCTTCGTTTGTTTTAGCCCACTGGACAACATGCCTCCACTGTTTCTGTCTTGAGCAACCTCCATCCAATTCTCCACGCCCATAGTGCTTAGGTCTCCTGCTATATTATTTCGCCACCGGAGACAAGGACGTCCGCGTGGTCTCCTTCCAGTTGGAACTTTCTCCCACACCAGTCTTACTTTTCGTTCGTCAGAATGTCTTCTGAGATGTCCTGCCCATTGGAGTCTTCTGGACTTTATTTCTCTTATGATTTTGGCGTCTGGGTAAAGTTTTTTGAGCTCTTTGTTAGTTCTTATTGTCCTGCTGCTTCATCCAGCACAGCACCAAAGATCTTCCTTAGGACTTTTCTTTCCCAAACACATAGTCTCTCTTCGTTTGTCTTTCTTATCGTCCACGTTTCGCTTCCATACATCAAAACAGGTCGTATTATTGTTTTATAGACCTGTATCTTCGTACATCTTGTTAGTTGTTTCGATTTTATAAGGTTTTGGAGGGCACAAAGACATCTGTTGCCGGCCTGAATCCTGTTGTTTATTTCTTGTGATCCGTTATTGTATTCAGTTATTGTTATTCCAAGATACTTGAATTCTCTAACGCGCTCAAAGTTAAAGTCATCGATGGTGATATTCTGACCGATTCTGTCTCTGCTTTGGTTATTGCAGCTCATATACATATATAGAACCTACATACTCTAGTCAATAATATTAAAACTCCCATATCATTAGCAAAATTAAACATCCTTCATGGTTCTATTATCAATCCTGTACAGTTAGAACTAATAATAAACAAGCTAAATAGAATCTATGAAATAGAAAACGTGCCAAAACTTCGAAATTTCATAAACTATTATAATTTATATTCCACTCAAGTCCGTATATATAAAAATCTAGTAATTTTTAAAATTCATACACCAGTAACTAGTAATCCCTTTCGATATTTCCAAATCCATCCTATACCTTTGAATAACCTAACCATTATTCCCAACCAACCTTTATTACTTCTCAGTAATAAAGATAGTTGGACGACAGCAGAACAATGTCCAGAACTAGAAGACTATTACTATTGCCCAGCAGGATTCCTACACGAAAATGTACAATCTAGCATAAGTACACTAATTCAGACTGGCAACAATCTGTGTAAAAGTACAAGTATCCACCTGATGAAAACCACAGTAACATCCATAAATGCCAACCAGTAATTAGTCATACCACATAATCCAATGAAGATCGAGACCAGATGTGACAAAATTGATATTTATGAAATAAACAAACCATCCTTTGTCACCTTAGATAAATGCAAAGTAACCATCAATAATAAACCATACGAAAGAGAAGAAAGCATACACGAAGAATATGTATTTAACCTACCCGAGTTCAATTATCAAGAAATAATATCTGATCTACCAGTATTTCAATTGAAGACATTAGACAACAAAGAAATCAAGCCAATACAGAATATAGCACAAAATATAGAATTAGCCAAACTTCAAGAGATTCCAGCACGCCACAACTGGACCAATACATCCTTAATTATCATCATTATGTTAATTGTCCTTGTTATAGTATATTTTAAGGTTCACCATTCCAAAACAATGGAATATTGCAAAAGAAAGAAGGATTCCAAACCCAGAAAGGCAAAAAAAGGCTCAGAAAAACCAAGTCCCTTGTTTTCCGAGCTTAAGGAGGGAGGAATTAAGTAGCCGCTTTCACCATACCAAATATTCCAAAGAGACATCATGCTATAATAATGTGTATTTGATAATAAACCATTTACCAATCAATATTGGAAGATTTTTATTACTTTCTAGACTAATTTGTTTATTGTATAATCATATAAAAGCTGTTTTAATCATAAGACATTATCAGTATATATTTTAACATTGACTATGTTACTTCTCATATTACTTTTATTTTTAAGTTATTGTCAAAGTGTACCATATAATCTGTGAAATAAAAGTATTTAAAAAGTATATTTCCAAAAAGAAATATATAGGTAATTATATTTTTTAATTAATTTGTTTTGTAGACTACAAATAATTTGTTTTAAAATTATAAAACAATAATTGTGTTAAATAATAATAAAACAATAAATGAATATCAAAAAAACTTTTAAACTATAAGAAAACAGAAAATTAATATTTATCAATAAAAAATTTAAGTGGGTAGCTTGAATTTTAGACGATTCATAAAAGTTTAGTCTTTAATTAAGTTGACAATATATGTATAATTTCAAAAATTTAAACATATCTCAAGATACCAAATCATCTCAAAACCCGCCAACATTCCAAATACATGTCTAAAAATCAACAAGTACATGTTGCTACGGTACACCTCCTGCAATGATTGGCCTCACGTCGACCAACGACGCACGAAACAACCTAATCATCCAATAGCGGCCTATCGCTGTTGCGCCAATGGAACGAATGCGCGCCCCTCCTTCTTGCCGAAGCTCAAGAATGGCTCACTATGTGTGATCAGTCAAGCTGTGAACTCCGCGTGTAACAGTCACCCCAGTGAGAGCCATTTTCGAACTTTTTATCCAAAATATTCACAAAGAAATCGCGTTTCGCGTGTAGAAATGTACGCCGAGTGACAAGTTAGTGCTAAATCGAAATGATTAACGCGTTTATGGACACTGGCCATCACCATTTGGCTACTTATGGTTTAAAGATGTCTCCAGGCCACAACGGAGGAGCTGGGAGCATTCCATCGCCTCACCAGAATCCCGCTGCGGCAATGACAGCGCCAGAAGTGGGACCCGGTCACCAGAACCACTTCCAAAGTAATTACGGACACATGGGGCATCTTAATCCTCATGCTGGTTACGCTGCTAGAGACTTTTTATTACGGAGAGATCACCATGATTTTCCTACAGCTCAAACAGCACCTAGTGATCCCGTATTGTTTCATCATCACACTGAGATGCCCCCTCACCACAATCCTCATCTAACACCTCACCACCAAATGCTGTATTCGCGAACGGATCACCACGCTGCCTACCATACCCAGCCGAATCATCACCAGTACCTTAATCCCCACATGGGAATGCCCCATCATCCTTCGAACGTCCATGGAGCCTTTTTCAGGTACATGCGACAACCTATCAAACAAGAAATGCAATGCTTGTGGATAGATCCCGATCAACCGCCTCCTAGAAAATCGTGTGGTAAACATTTTACTAGTATGCATGAAATAGTGTCACATTTGACTGTCGAACATGTGGGAGGACCTGAGTGTACGACACACGCTTGCTTTTGGCAGAACTGTTCGCGAAATGGCAGGCCCTTCAAAGCTAAGTACAAGCTGGTGAATCACATTCGGGTGCATACTGGAGAGAAGCCATTCCCGTGTCCGTTCCCTGGTTGCGGGAAGGTTTTTGCTAGGAGTGAAAATCTCAAAATACATAAAAGAACGCATACAGGTACGTTTTTCTTTAGTTTACTTTTTAACTTAAGTTTTTACAAGACCTGCACTAAAAAGTTGTTTATTTATTTTTATTTGGGAATTATAACAATACATTTAATGACTACTTTGCTATATAAAGTTAGTTTGTAGTTTAGAAAATGTTTATGTTTATTAATTACCAATGTTTAATTTTTTGGTCCGGTATTATTCGAGACCACAGACTTTTTGTTATTTGAACATGCAAGTGCCTTTGATTTACAACTTTTGTTGTAAATCAAGATATATCGAGAACTCCAGTGCAAAAAAATTGGTGGATGGATCTTCATAAATTTTTTATTTATAATCGCAACAATTTCTTATCATAGTTAAAACTGTCAACTTGAATTTCATATTCCAATAATTTTCTTAATGAACTCAAATGCACTATTGTTCCACTACACTAATTTTTTTGTGAATCTTTTAATACTATTCATTCAGCACTTTCTTTTCTGGTGGCATTTGTTTTCCTAATGAATTCTATCTGTAGATTGATATTGAATATTTAATTCCTATGGCGTGGTTTATATGGGTATATTTTTTCAATAATTTCATTACTATGTTGCTTCCCCCTATGGTTTTTGCCAGTCCTTCTTAATCGTTTATTTAGTTATTGCAATTTTCAATCTACTGAACAAATAAATATGATGTAAGAGAAAGGGCTTGACTCAAATTGCATCCATTAATGGTTGTCTTCTTTCTACTAGTTGGTTGAACAGTTTTTTATTACATTTTTAATTTTCAGCGTAATCTGTAATACAGTGTGTATATATTTTTTGCATTGATAGTTGAAGTTAAATTTGTTAGATCATTATGCAAAATTGGGTTTGAGACATCCAGGGAGGACCAGTTATCATTCTGATCACCTCATACTGCACCTACATGTGCTAACTTATCTGGGTTGACTTTTTCCCAGTTCTCTAGCCAATGCTGTAGTAGGCTGAGATGATCCTGAAGTTTTTCAGTGGTTCTTGCTGGATTATCAGTTACAGGAACATTGACAATGTATAGTAGATAAAGGAATGGTCCAAATACACTACTTGTGCTGATATTTTATGGAAATCAGCTAATTAATGATTTACTTGGAATTATTGATTGTAAAGATATGATTCAAGATGAATAAATTGATGTGGTAAATGTTGTTTTAATTCATAGAAAAATCATGTGAGTCCCACATTGTTCAAAGCTTATTTTATGTCAAAAACGTACTGAATTTTTCCTTTTTCCAGACTTTTAATGATTTTATTTTATCGAAAATTAATCTCTCTTTAAAAAACAACTTATCTCTGCTGTCAAGATGATTGTCTATCCTTGTACATTTTGTAATGTTTATAGATGTGTCAGATTTATCTAATCTTTTTCCAAATTTTAAACTTTTTTTCATATTTTCAATCTTTGGCCAGATGCTTCAAAATTCTTCTTAATTTGACTCAGTAATATTCTTTATTTCTGTTTCCTTAGTATTCCTTTTCTCCTTCTGACTATTCTTTCAGTTTAGACCACTTTTTTTTAGTAACTTTTTTGCTAGTGTAAGTGTTTTATATTCTATTGTTATATGTCTTTGGTTGGTTCTTTCCCTGAAGTTTTTTAATTAGTATGACCAAAAAAATAATTGAAAAGAGTGGACTCAGATTATCTTGTTTGTTTATTTCGGACTTACATTCCATAGTGTTTTGATAGTAGATCCCAATGCCATATTTATAATTTTGTTGCTTTTTCTTCAATACTTTTAAGTTAATGGGAACATTTTCATATCTTCAATAATCCGGCATTGTGTGCTTTCCAGCTTTACATGCAACTTGTTCATCTTTCAATTTATTTTGTATTATTTTCCTTAATTTACTTTTTAGTATTCTTTTATAAACCTTAAAGTTTGTTGTTTAAAGGCAAATGACTGTAGTATTCTGGATTGTGGTCCACCTTTTTATATATCGATAAAAATACGTTCGGTTGTTCGTTTCCATTGTTTTTGGTTTTATTGTTGACCATGCTTCTAATAGTATCTTCCAAGACCGTTGTTTTTTCCTTACACAGTAGACATTTCGTGCTTTTTCAATGCCTCTACCAGATATTCTTAATATTGTAGCCCCCGGGTAGCATATTTTCTCCACTCTTTCTAACGATGTATTATTTATTATAATTTTGTCATTTATTTTGGTGTAAACACCAATGATCAATACCTTTATCTTCTTTTAATTTAGTTTTAGACTATATTTGTAACATGTTTAATTTGTAACAATATTGTATCATCTGCATATCTTGTTTATAAGCTGGCCATTTACTACAATACCTACCATCTTCTAATTCGTACAAGGATTCTCCTAAAAATGTTTTTAGATTATATAATTAAATAATATTGGTGTTAACCCTGTTGAACTCCTTTTTCGACTGTGAAGCTCTCGCGTCCTAGTATTTTTAGAACATGATATAGAATATATATTAGTTTCCTATGTGATATTTGGTCAAATTCCTTCTGAAAATCATTGAAACCTGCGTACACATCTCAGTTGACATTCCTGGCCCACTTTATTAGAACTTTCAAACTGACAAGTACCTACTTCTCTCGTTGCAATTCCTGCTTTGAATTTAAATTAAACTTCACTTATATGTTCTTCTAATTTGGTTTATATGATGTACGGATGAGTGATAGTAGGGATTACTTGGTTCATCAAAGTACGATTAATTAATCTTTGTTCTTTACATTATCTAGCATTCGCTTTTTTTGGGAAGTGGAATGAATATTTTTGGTAAGTTACCAGTCTCACATCTTGAATCTCCGTCAGAGCTGTGATGTGCTGTGTTGTAAAATTTCAACATACACTTCATCAGGTCCTTAATCATCAGTTTGTAATGTACATAGCGACTTCTTCGTTATTTTTGAGCCGTGGGATTGTCTATTTCAGTCACACTTCTTGCGTATCTTCAAATAACTCTTGCATGTATTCTTTCCATATTTTTATTTATCTTCAATTATAGTCTAAATTTGGCCCTCTGTACATCTTTTAATCTTTTTGTGCATATGTAAATCGTTATGTTTGAATTGTAGCCATGTCTAACTTGGGCACAAAAGCTATGAATGTCTTAAAGAAGTTGGTCTGCATGATCTGCCCGGTCTGCAATAAGGATTATGTCGTCTGCAAATCTCAAGTTATTCAGAAACTCTCTATGTTGGCTCATGTAACATGGAGTTCGATTTGGGTATTTTCTCAGATATATAAATTATGAGTACATATGTTCATAATGTTCATATATTATATTTTCTTTTTGTTAATTTATTAGGGAACACTGTATGAATATGACAGTAGGTACGTCTATTATATGGACTATCATCAGTCATTTGAATCTTTTATGTCTTATAAATTATTGAAATAAGAATTATTTTTATACTTTAAAAAAAGTGCCATCACGCAAAATTTAGAACTCATTTAAATGATCGACTGGAGAAGCAAGCTGTTTTCACTTGTTTTTGTGTGAGGCATCATCCTATATTCTGGGTTTGGTTTTACAATTTCTGGTGTGAGTTACTGTTTCTACTATTTTTCTCCATTCTTCTCTCTCTTTGATTGTCCTTTCTATATTTCTAAATTTGCATACTCCTTAAGTCTTTTTCAACTTGTTATCTCCATCTCAGTTTAGATCTGCCTCTGGTTCTTTTACCTTGTGGTATCCATTTCCTTATAACCCTTCTCTCTTCCTGTATTCCGCGATTCATCCATTGTCTTGCGTCCTTTTCGTTTTCCCTCTTTGGTCCCGGTATTTTCCTGATAATCTTTCTCTAAAAAACTTTCAACTGCTCTTCTTCTCTTGCTGTTAATCTAAGTGTTTTCTGCAGCATATACTCATATTGATCTTAAGGTCAGTTTGTAGATTTTCATTTTTGTGTTTCGGCTTATCTTATCTCTAAACATTTTTTTATTTCTATAAAACGCTGTATTTCCCGTTTGAATTCTTCTTTTCATATCTACACTTTTATTTCTTCTGTTTACTAGTACTCCCAAATATTTGAACGTTTCAACTTCTTCGAAACTGTGTGCATCTATTATCAGTTCTTTCATTTGTGTCTTCTTTTTCTTGCTTACCTTCTTGTATTTTGTTTTATTTTCATTTATTTCCAGTCCTCTCAGTTTGGCTTCGTTTTCTATTTCTTGGAAGGTTTTCGTTAATGCCTTTTTATCTGTTGCTACTATGGTTATATCGTCCATATATCCTGTTATTTGTACTACATTCTTGTTTATGGTTCATGCGTTCGACAGCTTATTTATTATCTTGTCCAGTGATATTATACATTCTACCCTATTGGAAAATACGTGATAGTATAGTGTTTATGGCAGATGACTAAGTTTACAACAAATATATTTTAAGTTTACCAGATCCTTCCGTCGGAAGGTAGTTTTCTTTTTTATTCGCATTCTATTGCCCCTTGTAATACTGCAAAACAAATATATTAAGAAATATTTTAGAGAAAATCTAGAAGGGAGGCTAATAAACGAGAATAACACAAATTGTATAGAAAGCGTATGAGAACAATTTAAAAAAGTATTTTAAGAAAAAATTGGAAGAACCAGCCCTAGAATAAAATAATATAAAAATAAAAAATACGGACATAAAATTAATTAAACAAAAGAGAAGAGAAAGAAAGAGAATATGTAGAAAAAAGTCACGGTTACTCTTGGAACAGAATTTAAAACATATTGAACAGGATATTGTAAAGATGAATACCTACAAATCTAACCATCCAACCAATAGTTCAGAAGAAATACCTACTAAAGAGGAAATTACAAACATAATAGAAAATTTCAACATAATGAGTAAATACTTTTCGGAAAATATGTTTAAATGAATATTAAACAGAATTAGTACCAAGTAACAAAACGATATATTCAGTAGGTGTATCTTAATATGCATCGATATTTTTCTTCTTCTTCTGGTTCCTATCCGTTTCGGATGTTGGAAATCATATTGGCAATCATAATCTTGCTCGCTGCGGCTTGAAACAGCTCCGTTGAGGTTTCCTTAAACCATGTTCTTAAATTCCGCAGCCATGATATTCTCCTTCTACCGGGTCCTCGCTTACCTTTGACTTTACCTTGCAATATAGACTGCAGCAGGGGAGTAACGGTGCTGATTCTCATAACGTGTCTCAGATATTGCAATTTTATGCGTTGGATCGTAAACACAATCTCTGGTTCCTTCTTCATTTTTCCTAGAACTTCCTTGTTCGTGATCCTTGCTGTCCATGATATTCTCAGCATTCTTCTATAAAGCCACATCTCAAATGCTGCAAGTTTTTTAATTAGTGGTGTCTGTAAGCGTCCATGCCTCCGCCCCGTACAACAACGCAGAGAAAACATAGCATCTCAAATGTCTCATTTTTGTATCTAGGGACATGTTGTGACTTTTGAAGATGGCGCTCATTTTGTTAAAGACCGTTCTTGCCTTTCCTATGCGGCACATTTATTTCCTGTACATTGCTCCACTGTTCGTTTATAATAGTTCCCAGGTAGCAATACTGTTTTACTCGCTCTATCTGCGTCCATTAATGTATAGATGAGCCCCGTTTATATTCTCCTTGCTGATAATCATTTGTTTCGTTTTGTGGGGTATTAATGTTTAGTCCGTACTGTTGACTGTACTCGTTTATTCTGTCCATTAGCCTCTGAAGTCCCTCTAAAACTATATGCTATCACCATGGTTGTCGACATATCTAACATTGTTTACTCTTTCACCATTTAGAAGGATGCCTTCGTCTATTCCGTAAAGAGCCTCGTTAAAATTTTCTCTGAGTACATATTCTATATCAACGGCGATAGGATACATCCCTGTCTAACTCCACGTAGTATTTTTATTGATCTGTTTCTTCTCCGTCAATTTTCATGTATGCGGTCTGATTCCAGTAGAGTTCTGAAATTTATTCTGAGGTCTTTGTCATACAGGTCTGCCTCTTTTAAAATGTTTATCATCTTTTGATGTTGAACTCTGTCAAATGCCTTTTCATAGTTGATCAAGCACGCGTATACGTCACAGTTTAACGTCCCTGCATCTTTGAATCAGTACCTGTACTCCGAAAAGTGCCTCTCTGGTACCCACTGCGTTAATGAAGCTGAACTGTCTGTCCGATATTTGTTCCTCGCACTTCTTATAAATTCTTCCATAGATGACTCTAAGAAACAGTTTCAACATGTGGCTCATTAGGCTGATTGTTCGATATTCTTCGCACTTTTTAGGCCCCTGTTTTTTAGATATTGCTATGAATTCTGATTCTAGCCATTTATCAGGGATGATTCCTGTATTGTATATTTTATTGAAGACAGCCGTGATCCAATTTATTCCTTTTTCCTCCAAGAGTTTTAAAAATTCAGCTTCGATATTATCAGGCCCTACAGCTTTCCTGCTTTTCATCCGTTTTATTGCTTCTTCTATCTCGGATTTAAGTATGTCCAGGCCCGTCATCCTCTATGAAAATGGATGACTATAATCCGTTCTTTGATCTTGAAAAAGTGTCTCCAAATATATTCTCCATTTGTCTTTCATCTCTTGGGTGTCAATGATTAATTTTCCATTGGTGTCTATGAGTTTCATTTGTGTTCGCTTTTTAAAAGTACCCGTTATTTCTTTTACCTTTTTGTGTACATTAAAATTGTCATGCTTGGCTTGTAGTCTTTCTTTTTCTTTACATTTCTCTGCAGCTTCTTTTTCTTTAGCTTCTCTTATTTTTCTTCTGATGTAATCCTGCATTTTTTTTATACTCATCTTTATTTCCTTTAATTATATATTTTTCTTACATTGCTACTAATGTTCAAAGAATTAAAATTTATTGAGATTTTCATATCAGTGGATGAGGACCATTTAGTTCCCTATATAATGATTTAGTCACTTGTGTGTGTATTATTTCTAATGAACACTAAAACAAAGATACATGTTCTAACTTAAAAAAATTTTGTATATTAAAAAGAATGTTTTATATAGATATAACAAATATTTATCATTCCTAAAATACCAATAAAATATTCTAAATATCTACTTTGTTGTAACAGAACTATATTTTTCCTCACCAAAACATTTTTAAACAGAATTTCAGATTTAGAAAGTTCGAAAAACATAAAATAAATCATCTGGATTTACTTGGAAATTTTGAAGTACCGTTAGAAGATGTAAATGCTATTGAAGGATTATAGGGGAAATATAAACCATCAAATGTTGTCCGTTTTTGGTAATATTTTCAGCAGGTAGCTTCCTAAACGTTTAAACAATGGCACTGTACAGATTTGACCGTTATCTGATCGTGGTTGTTGAAGAGAAAGCTTTAAAAACATGTTTATTAAAGTACATGATAATTAACTCAAGTATACAAATTTCCACTGTAAAATAATCAAATTACAGAGCTTTCTGTGTTCTGTAGAATACGCAAAATGTAAAAGCTAATATTGTTGGAATAATTAAATATTTCTTTTTGGAAATATACTTTTTAAAAACTTTATTTCACAGATTATGGTACACTTTGACAATAACTTAAAAATACAAGTAATATGAGAATTAATATTATGTTAAAATATAGACTGATAATGCCTTATGATTATTACAGCTTTTATATGATTGTACAATAAATAAATTAGACTAGAAAGTAATCAGGAATCTTCCAATATTGATTAGTATAATTCCTCCCTCCTTAAGCTCGGAAAACAAGGGACTTGGTTTTTCTGAGCCTTCTTCCGGCTGTATGAGTTTGGAATATTTCTTTCATTTGTAATATTCTATTGTTTTGGGATGTTTAACCTTAAAATATACTATAACAAGGATAATTAACATAATGATGATAAATGTATTGGTTCAGTTGTGGCGGGTTGCAACCTCTTGTAGTTTTGGTAATTCTATATTTTTTGCTATATTTGGTCACATCTGGTCTCAATTTTTATTGGATTATGTGGTATGATTAATAACTGGTTCGCATTTATTGATGTTACTGTAGTTTTCATCAGGTGGATACTTGTACTTTTACACAGATTGTTGCCAGTCTGAATTAGTGTACTTATGCAAGGTTGTACATTTTCGTGTAGGAATTCTGCTGGGCAATAGTAAGGTCTTCTACTTCTGGGCATTGTTCTGCTGTCGTCCAACTATCTTTATGACTGAGAAGTAGAAAGGTTGGTTGGGAATAATGGTTAGGTTATTCAAAGGTATAGGGTGGATTTGGAAATATCGAAAGGGATTATTAGTTACTGGTGTATGAATTTTGAAAATTACTAGATTTTTATGAATACTTTCTTGAGTGTAAAATAAATTATAATAGTTCATAAAATTTTGAAGTTTTGGCACTTAGTCCTTGTTCTGCATTTATTTTTACTTCTAGTCTTGATTTAATTTGTGAAATCATTGCCAGGAAGTCTGATATACTTTCGTTTCTTCCTTTTGTGGATTCCAGAAATTCTTTGGTTAAAGTTCTATCTATTCTATCTCCAAAGTTGTGTTTTAGTGTTTCGTAAATTAGTAGCCATGTGTTTAGATCTGGTCTACACATAATAAAATTGACGTTGTCTTATAATTTGGAATGTATGACGCTAAAAGTGTAGTTATTCAACGTGTTGTCTGTTGTTTGTCCATAAGTGAGGAAAAATGATCGCAAAACTTGGTAAAACTTCTGCAAGAATTTTAGCTGTGTATACTGTGGATGTACCGTTTTGTGATAAGGCCATTTTGTTTAAATCAGAAACTAGTTTCTCGATTTAACTTTGCATATAGGTAAAAATTTTGTTACTTAAGAGTACCCTTTTGTTAATTTAATGAAAAATACTCTTTGAAAAAGACTATTACAAAAGAAATCTCTAGCGAGTAATATGGAATATAAGATCTTTTCAAATTGTAAATGATCAGCCTTATAGTACATATGCGACTGCAAAAATTATTTAAAATATAATAAATATCAATAAACTTACAATAAGATATAAAAGTATCCAGTGAAAGGAAAGTAAGACAGGAATAAAAGAATTCTCAGTAACTCATGTGTTTTTAGGCATGAGGTTCTTCTGGCAAATGGTGGAAACAAACGGTTCAGCTCTGTTTTCTTCTGCAACCTTCAGGTATCCTACTGACTGCGCTAATTATATATTTCTTTTTGGAAATATACTTTTTAAAAACTTTATTTCACAGATTATATGGTACAGTTTGACAATAACTTGAAAATACAAGTAATATGAGAAGTAACGGAGTTAATGTTAAAATATAGACTGATAATGTGTTATGATTATTACAGCTTTTATACGATTATACAATAAATTAATTTTTCATAATACGTTAATATTCATTTTCTGGTTTATTTACAATTAATTTAAATATTAGAAATTATATTTAAGTAATAAAAATATTACTTTAATTCAGTTCTTATCCTATTATTTCCTAGGAATAATTTCTGTATAACTTTTATCTTTATACTTTACATAGCTTTAACTTTTATCTTTATAAATATGTCTACACATACATAAGTAAGTAGTGTTTCATCAATTCTCGATAATTATGACAATCTACAATTCCCAAATCGTCCCTAGAGCTACAATTCTCTCAATAAGGTCATAAATATTAAACACTTTCGATTGAAAACGACCACTTCAGCCGACGTTTCCGTATCTTCAGCTTTCGACAATGGACTAACGACTATTTTGACAAGAGCACCATGGAAAACGTGTGACAAAAGCGGAACGCACACATATGGACACCCTCAAAATTATTCACATAAGTGAACAATGTGCGAAACGAGTGACAGAAGTAGCGTACCAGAGTAGTCAAGTGGGTCGATTGGATTGAACCCTTGATGTTGCGACAACTGGAGTTCGTTCGAATGTTAAGGATACTTCAGATCAAGCGTTGGGATATTGCTAATAATCGTAATGAACGATTTGGGTATTTTGTTCGTCCCTACTGTGTCGCAAATCTTCCGGATTTGGACGAAGTAGTTTTTATTTAGTTTATATCACATCTATATTATTTTGACGAAGTAGTTCTAGATGTTGTTAGGTGGAAAGGAGAGAGAATAATTTACCTTGTAATCGCAACATAGACAAATAAAGAAATTGCTATTAGTTCAGTCTCTCTAAAAAATCATCGATTTTAAGTAAAAATAAAAACGGTATACAAAAACGGTATATTATAAGGGGTAGCAAATGATAAATCCGTGAAGATGTACTGCTGATTTTTTCATTAAAATTTGGTTAACTTTAACGAAAGTACAAGCTGAATATAGGCGCAAATGTCAACCATGAAACAAAATATTTCGGTTTGGCAGTATTGTCATGTTTTTATAATATACATATAAGTTATTATATTCTACAAATTAAAAAGAGAAAGATTTAGAAAAGTACATTTTGATTATATTATGTTATGAATTCTGCAGTTGTTAATTTATATAAAACAAGAACGAGTAAATATTTGTTCCTTTGTAGGTTAATTGCAGTTAATTATTGATAGATCAGCGAATAGATTTGGCAATCCTCAAATCACCAGTTGCCAGATTGCAGCAGATTTTTGCAATTCATCTCGAAAGGGACAAATATTTACTCGTTACTATTTTATATAAATTAAAAATTGCAGAATTCATAAAATAATATAATCAAAATAACCGTTTTAAAAGCTTTCTCTCTTTTTTTTTTTTTTTTTTTTTTTTTTTTATTTTACAACATATTATGCATTATACAAAAAATTCCTCACATGCCAAATCGAACTTGTTTGTTCTGAACAACTATTTTCTTTGGCATTTTAAAGTATATTACTATTTAAAAATGGGAATAAGCCTTAAAGGTTAAAGTATTTATGATGGTTCAATTTCACTTTTTAAACGTTCTCAAATTACAAACATTAGTACATTAAACAAATTTTGTTTTTTGTTACTTGTGAAAAATTTTTAATAAATTAATTTTATTTGACTCCTTTATATAGATAATTCAGACTTACAGTTTACATTTAAGTAGACGAATTTAAATGATATTGCCGAATATGTTGAGTTTGCGCTCCTGGGACGACTTTACTTATAAGTTTCTCATTCGACTTACATGAAATCAAACTTTAACTTGAGAATATCCGTTAACAAAATATCATAGCATGTAATTTATGTCCTTTTAAACACATACCATGATGACAGTAAAGAACTCTCGTGTTAGTGATCGCCATAGTAAATTATGAGGGAATAAACCCAGGAAAGAACCTCATAATTACTAGTTCCCGATATGGTAAACTATTTGGTCGTGCTATTAATTTACCTTCAAATTAAACAACCAAATTCTGATTTTATTGTTTGTATTAAAAAAACATAAATGATGTATACCTCTATATAGGTTACATATAAGTAATGATTAACATCCTACAGCAGACATGGGGATGCAACTGTGATATATGGACTAAAATTTGATAGAAAACAAAAATTACCAGTTCTAAATAATTTAACAAAAGGATCCAACAAAGCCTTTGAAAAAACACGAATATATAGACAAAATTTATTCAAGGTTTAAAGATTGTTTAACAAAACTTACTCAGAGAAGGATTAATTATCAGAACGTTCTAGGGCTACTTTCATCTACCTGCAAAAAATCGAAAAATTATCGGAAAAATTAATTCTATAATTATTCAATAAAAAGTTATTGAATTTTACCATTATTTCATAAGAAATACTTACATTTTAATAATAATGTATATTGTTAATATAAATATATAATACTAATTATTGCTTAATGCTTGAAATGTGTTTATTTAAAATTAAAATATGCAACTACTTTTTTTCTCATTGAATAAATGTTTTACAATAAAATTTGAAACTAATCTTTTTGTACTTTACACGAAGGAATTATATAATTAATAATTATATTTGTATAAATAATATACATTAATTAATAAAATTTAAAAATTTCTTACAAAATAATAGTAACATTAAACTTTTTATGGAGAAATTTTCCTACACAGTTCTTCTTAGCACACGAGTTACCGAAAATAAAATCAAATCAGACTTTTACGTACCGTAGAAACCGAGATATTGCAAATTTTTTCAGCGCGCTTCAATGTGATATAGTGACTTCTAAAAAAAATATGGAGCTCAGCAGACGGTATTTTAGAGTGTACTTACTTCTAACGTGTTATACTTGTTAATCCTTGAGTATATAATTATCAAGGAATAAGCTCAAGATACGGAAGATGGAGA